ACGAGAACGCGAGTACGTACTCGCGTTCTCGTGAATTGAGAAACGCCCATTTCTTTAATTGTACTTCATTTCAATTGACTTTTTATGCCAATTCAAAACACAACTCACCTCAAGGTTCTTTATGGAGACAAGTTTTCTATCTAAGGAAACCCAGCTAACTGCATCCAGTCGTTGACTTTGCACGATTCGCTTCTGCCGGATGAGCAGGTGGCATTTTCTCCTTGCATAGAGTGATAGTGGAGAGGAATAACTCCCTTTAACAGAGCAAACCTCCAGAGGAACCAGGCTTAGTGTGAGTTGCCTTCTGAACAAACGATGCAGAAACATGAAAGGAACTCAGAAGCACCGATCTAGGAGGAAACTGTATGTGAGAGAGAAGTGGGAGGTTAGTTGCAGTTGTAGCTCCAGTGGTGGTTTCATCTAGGAGAGAAACAGAATGAAGCAGCCAGGATCCTGCGTGAGAAAGTCATCAAAGCAGAACAGCTACCAATCCGAAAACACAAAAAAAAAAAAACAGCTTAGCTTTGAGTTCAAAGCTTCATAGAGTAGCCCAACAAATGCTTGATCTGCTTAGACAGCATCCAAATTATACTGGAAGAGCAGGTCCACTATCTAGTAATGCAGAGGTCTTTGTTAGTCTGCAATACGTGATACTGGTCTATGTCTCTGGAAGAGGAGTCGTTAGGGGGCATTGTTGGCCTGACTGACCAGACGAAATGTTTCTGTATCCTGCATGGCGGTGGGGGCTGCGATGATAGTGGGAAGGAATCAACTCTATTGCTGAATTGTAGGATTTTAAAAGCTGAAATCTGAGTCCACCCTCTGTTTAAGGTTGGTTTATCTCTCTCTGATTCCCAAACCCATCGCCATGCAGGGGAGCAAGACATCCCACCAGGTCAACAATGGCCCCAACAACTCACCTTTTCAGATGCATAGGCCTGTGAAGGGTATTGCAGGCTAACAAAGACCTCAACCACTCCCCATTACTAAGGAGCGGACCTGTTCTTCTGGTTTAATTTGCATGTTTTCTAAGCCAAAACAAGGCTTTTTTTTTGGTCCACTCTATAAAGCCTGGAACTCAACGCCAATTTAAACATTTTTAATAAAAAAAAAGCTTCCTGGAAGGGAAGCAAAATGTCTTCAAACTTAAAAAATAAAGTTTTTCCAGCGAAAAATTCTCACAATAACCTGAAGGAACGTCACTTTAACACCTTGATGTTTTCAAAAGTTTTTGATGTTATACACTAAAGTAGTTTATTCACTTTTTATCCTTTATTTTCTTCCCAGTGGGAAATGTGTGTGTATCAGGTCACGACAGAGGGCCCATGTTTGAAGAACAGCCCAGCAGTTTAATTTATCCAGAGGGCTTGACTGAAGGCAAAATAACCCTCAGCTGCCAGGCTAGAGCCAATCCACCGGCAACCTACTCGTGGGTAACACACACACACACACACACACACACACACACATACTCGTTCTGCTATATGTAGGGAGGACCATATGTTGAGTCATTTTCAAACCTTTCTATTAGGGCTGGGCGATATAGAAAAAAAAGCTTATCGATAAAAAAAATTTGCATATTGATTGATATCGATAATTATTGAAAAGATTTGAAACCATATTTTATGTGCAGCTCTGCCTGGACTTTTTAT